TTTCCCTGACTGTTCTTGTCTTTCTTTCTGCCCACTTCCTGCTTCTAGCTTGTGTTCTTTTCCATCACTCTGTCTCGATTCTTGGTCTCCAGTTCGCCGTTATCTTCCCATCTCTCTGTCTATTCTATTTTAAGGGGGTTTTGCCATAGGGCAAGTTGCTCACCAGAGAGACACGCACTGAGAGGGAAAGTGCGAAATCACCCCCAAGAAGAGATGGCCATGCTGCAATCTCCTCTCCTCCACTCTTCCCCTGGGATCTTGGGCATGCACACACATGTGCTCGGCATGATTTTCAACCTGCCAAGTTGGGGACTCGAACCACGGTCGGCCGTGTGGGACTCCAGCACCTCAACTATCATGCCACCTGCTGGCCCCCTCTGTCTAGTCTTATTTTTGACACCAGCCCAGTCCTTCCCAGTCCTGCTGGGTGGGGTCAGGGCCAGTTGCTATATAGAGGCCTGTGGGACTCCCTGAGGACTTTGGGCCATGTTCTTCAGGAACCTAAAACCCAGGATGACCCTGACTCGGACCCTTCCTCCGAGCAGACTGTGTCCAGTGCTTTCCAGGGGACACCCTGATCAACTCAATACGCTTGGCTGAGGCAGACTCCCTTCAGTCTGCCAGCAGGGCTTGATGCCCACCAGGTGCCAGCTCGTCCCTACAGAGTGAGAACCCAGCTGTGGTGCCAGGGAGTCGGGTGGCCCAGCCCTTGGTAAACCAGATGGCCACCTAGACATTGGAGGAGAGGATAGGTCCCTGCTCCGATTACACTGCCATGGGAGAGAGAGCCCTCGCAGACACAGATAAGCTCCCTCCCTAGCTGCACTGGCATCACTAACACCTCAAAGGTGTGAAGGTATTGAGCAGAGGCCAGGAGAGAGCCAGGGTGGAAGCCACTGGGCTCTGATAGTCAAGAGCAGGCAGGTTGGGGAGGAGATTGCCCAGCCCACACAGTGAGGGTGCACTGGCCCTGGGCAAAACCTCACTCCCAGCTCTTGGGCATGCTCTAAGCTTTTGCTGCAAGAATGCCAAGGAGGCGCCTTTGCCTGGATCTGCTCCCTCCGGCTTCTCTGTCCCTTTCCCAGCCCATCATGAAGCATCTGAACTACCTTGTTCAAAGTCTCAGGTCTCTCACTGTCCAGAAGGGTCCCCAGATCCTTGGAAAGCAGATGTCTTGGAGACTCTCAGGCTCTCCTAGGTCTGTACCTCATTTCTCTCTTCCCACACTGCAGTGCTAGGGAGGCTGCTAGCAGCTCAGCCCTCACAGCCTCTTCATAACTTCCTCACCCCGAAGCCTTTCTCAGTCTGGTTAAGAGGGCTGAGCCTATTGCCCTTTCTCAGGCTGGGCCTGGGCTCCAGTCTCAGCTCCTTGCTAACCAGCTGTGTAACCTCAGACACGTTACTTTCCATTTTAGAACGTCAGTTTCCTCCGCTGTAAATGGAAATAATCATAATGCCTACCTCAGGACTGTCGAAAGGATTTGATTTGATGGATAAGGTGTGTACAAGACTTAGGACCAAGCAGCTGATAAATGGCAGCTGTTGTTATTCTCGTGTGTTTTTTTTTTTTTTTATTAATTGCCACAGGGCGTGCACATATGCCAGAGAGAGAGAGAAAGCACCCCCAGCGTGGCGTGGTCATGCTCCAGTCCCCTTTCCTCTTACCAGGATTCGGAGGGTGCACACACATGTACATGTACCCAGCATGCTTCCCAAGCTGCTGGGGCTAGAATTCAAACCTCAGCCAGCCATGTGAGATCCAACTCCCACAGCACCATGCTGAACCATGGCGCTATGAGACCAGCATCTTTCTCGCCTGAATGATTCAGCAGCTTTTTCACAGCTGACTGGCTTCCTAACTGGCTTCCTCCCTGGCTCCTAATTCTCCTCACAAGAGCCGGCATGAGCCCGTTACAGACTGAATCAGAGGCCGGCCTGTAGCAGCGGTTGAGTGCCATGTAGCGGAAGCTGGATTCCACCTGGCCAACCAGCGTTCGGGTTTCAGTGCCAGTAGCTTACACGTTGGACATAGGCACCCCAGATTCTGATGGGATGGAGAACTGGAGGAGAAAGGATTGCAGCATGACCAGGCCCCGTTTGGGGGTGTTTTCTCTCCGTCTCCTGTACACACACCCTGTGCCATTTATAAAAGCGAAAACAAAACTAACTGGAGCGGATCTCTTCTCTGTCCAGCCATGGAGATTTTGGTTTCTGAGAAAACACTGAAGCTGTTACCTCCAGGGCTGCCTGGCTCCTCCTGTGTCCCCCTCACTCCCACGGCTGTGGCCACACAGGCCTCCTGGTGTTCTTTGAACATCGAGATCTCAGGACGTGGCAGATGTGGCCCCACCCCGGGGGCCTTTGCACTTGCACCACTCTTTCTTTGCACTTGCCCCTCTCTTTCCCAGATGGCCTCACTCCCACACTTCCTTCCTGCCTATCTCAACCTCCTTTAGAAGACAGCCACCTCCCAGGTTTCACTTTCTCCCTCAGTCCTTGCCGCCAGCTGCCTTGTTCTCTAGCTCTGGTTTTATTTTTCTTGGGGACTGCTTCCTGCCCTTTGCTGAGTGCAAGGATTGTCGTCCAGCCCAGAAAGGGCACCTGATAAATATTGGTTAAATGAGTAAGCCAGAACTGCAAGGTTACTACAGGAAAACTAAAAAGATAGATAAAGATCTCTCTCTTTTTTGTTTTGATAGAGGGCACATGTGCTCACCAGAGACAGAGGGAGAGGGAGAAAGCACCTCCCAATGGGACATGCCATAATCTCTTCTCCTCCAACTCTCCATCCTATTGGGATTTGGGGCACACATGCACATGCGCTGAGTGTTTTTCAAGCCACTGTGGCCGGTATGCAAACCATGACTCAGCCATGTGGGATCTATCCCCCTTAACCACTAAGCTACCAGACTGACTACAGATGCACATTTTTTTTAAGAGAGCGATTTTGCTATAAGGTGCATAACACTTCGCTTGCTGGAGACACAGAAAGGGAGAAATCACCCCCCAGGGGGGGTGGCCATGCCGCCATCCCTCCTCCTTTGTCCTCTCGGGATCCTAGGCACGCATGCTCGTGCGTCTGGCATGAGTTTTAAGCCACCGGGTCCAGGACTTGAGCTGCAGTCAGTTACGTGGGAGTCCAGTGACACCATCTGCTGGTCGCTCCAGATACACATCTTTTTAAATGTCCCCAACACCATGAGCCTCTCCTTAGTTCTCCAAAGCCACCAGGCCTTTGCACGCACAGTTCCCTCTGCCTGGAACATCCCCCTCATTGTCATTGATAGCTGTTCCTCCTTGTGTCCTTCACATCCAGGAGCATGTGCATATCTGAGGGACAGGAGGACTTTGGGAAGGGGCCAGGGCAAGAGAGCCCTGGAGGAGCTGCGTCAGGCCAGGCCCAGGCCAGGTCGTCCCAGCACCAGGCTTGTCTCACAGATAAGAAAGCAGATCACCACGCAGTATATAGATGTAAATACCAGATATAGTGTGTGTGAAAGGGGAGGGTCTGAGGAAGGACATTTGGGGGAGGGACAGGGAAGAAAAGCATTAATGGCACAAAGAGATGTGGTATTATCTGTTGAAGATGTTTCTGGTTTTATCGATGGTGCTAGGGAGAGGTGTTCACTTGTCGAAATATCCATTTTGTAAGACAAATAATAATGTGATTGAATGTATGGAAGAAAATGAAATGAAAAAAAAATAAATTAAAAGAAAAAAAATAACTTAAAAAAAAAAAAGAAAGAAAGCAGATCACCAAGCCAAGTCACTTGCCTCAAATTACACAGCCATGATGGCACCTGGGGCAGAACCCAGAGAACTTGGCTCAGGAGATGGGGACTTGGGCTTTGGGCCTACGACCTACTGCATATACAGGAAATGCAGACTCTTTCCCCCGCCCTCCTCTCTCCCCATCACCCTCTGTGGCCTTTGTAAATGTGTAACTAGACACCTCCCAGAACTCTCATTAGTTTAATAGCCTCAGATTCCAAAGGTAACCATCATTTGCAAATTTGCCTCCCCCTTTTAATTATTTACCTCTTCCCCTTGATTGAGCATATCATTTGGCACCTCCTCTGTATCTTTGTTCATTTTGCACCTCTGTCCTGGCCTGGGACAGTGAGTCATCACCACCCAGTCCTGTGCTTTCGGTCATTTCTCCTGGCACGTCTGAGGCTGCTTTGAGAAGGGCTCATCAGAACATGGATGCTCTCTACAGTTCAGACTCCTCTAGGAATCATCATCTTTATTAGTATGAAATCAGTCTGGGGACCAGCAG